ACGGGTGTAGGAGTATGTGCACTGTATACAAAATACATCCTATGCCGTTACTCGAAACATGTTCTTCTTAATTATTACTTACCACGTTGGCGGCTGTGTTTGTGAATATATATATAGCCTCTCTCGATATTACGTTCAGAGTCTGCCCTCTCCTGATTTTAATCTTTGAACCTTGAACTTTTAAATTTCACACAGTCATGTTACAAAAAAATAAGCGAAAAGCAATATACATACCTGAAGATCTCCCACCGCTGAGTGACGAGTCACTCTAAACAGCTATTGAGTGGACACGTTTGGGATACATTCTGGAGTTTACAAGGATTGTGTGTGCAATTATTAATACACTGGTCCTCCCGAAAGGGTTAGGAAATGTTTAAACATGTGGCGATGCTAAAACGTGGAGTAGTGTCTTTAAGTGTGGTCTCAATAGAAATACAAACATTATATAAATCGGATTTCTTAGCAACGGATATTTGAAGAATATTTCGGTGGTTGGTTATTCGATGCCATGGTTTGCTGACCAAATGTATATGTTTACACTGGAATGTATTACCCATTATTATCCAGGTTAGAATTGGTCTTCAGCAACATGTGTTTGTCGTAAGGAGCGACTAACGAGATCGGGTGGTAAGACTCGCTGACTTTGTTAACACATGCATGCCATCATATCCCAACTGCGTAGATCGATGCTGTGATCACTGGATCACCATATAGCTAGACTATTGATGCGTGCGGCGTTAAACAACATTGGCATTTATCGTATTTTGTGATACTGGACAGAAACGAGTATAAACGTTATCATTAACCTATGTGTCGACTGAACACAGCAATTGTCTCATTAAAACTAAACATAACATATGTGGTTATAAACGCTACCAAAACATGGTAGCTGGATTGTTAATGAAGTCTCGCTATGCACATTTTCAGCTCCATTCGAACAGATGTTGAATCCAGAGCGGAGGCTGCACAACTAACACATGTTTACAGACGCTTTATACGTAAACATGAATCTGTACCCCCGTATTGCAGTTTTCTTCACCATGACAAGGGTTCCATACATGCTGGACTCACCTCAGGCCCTCATTATTACCTTCTAAAGGCAGGCGAAGAATTAATCTGGCAGCACCAATGAAAGGAATGGCGAAACACCTCTTAACAACTCATAGATATAAGTGAAATTCAGTCTGAAAACCGTGGATACAATGTTGTTCGGGCTTGTTCCCACTGCAGATAATTCAGTTTCGTTATACAGTACATTGCAGTTTGGAGTATTGGAATATTAACTCGTCTCTACCTTAAATCTACCAAGATCTGGGTATGATTAGTTCAATGGAGAGGTAATTATAAAGGTCTATTAACTGACCTAATTGGGTTCACCATACGTTAAAGAATAATGTCGGTATCACTATGGGTCTTTCTGCCTATATAAACTCCATTTTATTCTGCGTTAAAAAGAAACGCTAAGAACTGTTTTCCAATATGTTACAGTACTTTGTATATACCAAATCCATTTCCTATCTCTTGTTATCCTACTAACAGGACATAAAGACCTGGCCAGCAAGGGATTTTATGGTGTGTCTTTCAGTTCCCTTTGAACGTCAATTTTTTGAAATGAGCTGGCAGCTGGAAAGATACCGTCCTTGATTTATGCACATTTTCCATAATTTGTTGTATGCACATCCTTCATCAGAGTCTCATGTAAATTCAAGAAGAAACATCAAACTGTTTCTTGATATGTCTGAAAAGGACATAAAATGGCTTTGGTAGTATTTTACTAGTACCGCCTCCGTGGTGTAGTGGTAAGAGCGTCTGCCCGGAGAGCGGAAGGTCGCGGGTTCGATACCCGACCGCGTCATACCAAAAGACGTTAAAGTTTGGTACTTGTTGGTCCCTGCCTGGCTCTCGGCATTAATGGGTACAACAAGGACTGGTCGGCTCGGAGTCAGTATAATGTGTCTCAGTGGGGTATTCATGATTCACTGCGGCATGGTATCTCAGTGGGCTAGCACTATTAAACCAGCTTTAGTCTGGGCTAGTACAAGCAGACGCACCTACACATACACACGCATGCACGTCGTCATATGAGCGAAATATTCTCAAGAACGACGCTAAACCCAATTTCACCTCACCTCACCTCATTTTACTAGTTAAAAAGGTTTTGCACTGTCGACATGTATTCAGAAACGGAGCTTTTATTAATTTAACGTGAATATGCATGTATCCTTCATTAAATGAAAATGTAACGTGTTGTTCTACAGGAGGTATAAATGTTGAAGGAAGTCAAACTTGTCAGGTTGTAACATCATCATCCATTGCATATCATCTATTGTCATTTGAACAAATCAGATGCTCTTTAGGTTTGTTTGAACAGTATGCCTATTTCGGGGTGTTACTTGAATGCACCCCATCACACTTCCACCCTCAAAACCGAAAGCGCTGTGTAACGCAAACGACGTTCAAACATACTCCTGGAAGGCCGTAGAGTTACCAGATGAAACCCAGATTCAACTGAGAACAGAACGCTATCCCAGGCTTGTATTCTGAAGCTGCGATGCTGTCCTCACCTAGTACAGCGTACAGCTGGACGTCGCAACCGGATTGTGTGCTACCTCAACTGATTGTACACAGTCCTGCCACCAACTGATCTAAACCGAGACATTGTCCGTGCTGTTAACGCGACAGTTTGGTATCGTGTTGGTACACTACCCGATTATCGACGACCGGTATGTGGGAAGTCATATGATAGTCATAATACTGTGTTTCAATTAACATTGATATCTCTATAATCTTCCCAATTTTGTAGGTTGCAGGATTCCTATTTTTCCTGCTATTTTTATGTTTCTGCTATAGGATTTGTTTGGGTATTTCACCCAGTTCACTCCTATAACAAGAATGAATATGCTTTTACGCCCTTATTAGCAAAATCCCTGATAATCCTGTGTTCAGTGCCCTGTAACATGGATGAAACTCTTGATCTACAGACACGTCAAACCAATACTAAAGTGGTACTTTTTATTCACAACATGGCAACGATCATACATATCTCCCATAGTTTGAGTGCAGTTTGCCTTATGACAATGATTCCCAGCTCATCTTATATATTCCTTTCGTTTTAACTGCTTTATCTGCTTAGATTACGTAAATCTAACACGCTAAGGCAGAAAAGAAACCTTGAGACGCTGTTATTCACCTTAAAACTAATGAGCATAGGCAAATACGCAAACTTTATAGAAAGGACACTATTAATACTATTGCTTAGGTTCTCGCATTTGGGGGACCTCTTTTATATGGTACGTGTCGTGGTATTATTCCACCGGAACCAGGCTCAACTTCATCTTGACCACACCTTCTTTGGCTCTGACTGTGAGGGCTGTGCCGTTGATGGTGTCGTCCTCCATTGCCATAAGGAATGCGCTCACCACCTGGTCTACCCTGAGAACAAGCAGACATTACACTAACACTATTCAAATACAACGTTACATTAACACACTAATGCCTGTTCAGTATCCCGTTCGACAAAGCAATCGTAGCGCTAACATATAATAATGACTTACGACAATCGTAACGCTACGGTCGCTTTGTGAAGCTGGTGCCAATAGAGGGGAACATATTCAATTTTTGAAAAGTGTGTCAATTATCGTCAATGTCAGTGGATAATGTCTATGTATGATGTTAATCTTACAGACTCGTATAGCCAAACGAAGAAACTTGTACACATTCAAGAATTGAATCAAGGCCTTAAATTCAGTTTTATGCAATAACAACAGTACGTATTGGCCTGGCATTCCACGAGATGGTCCATAACGACTCCGGAGGACATGCCTATGTCATTGGAAAAGGACTCAACGCGAAGAACATATGCTGTTTATATTCTCCAGTTCAAGGCCATCCATGTAAAGGAGATGAGGAAAAGGTTTGGGGAACTGTGCTGCGGTGGCCCAAGAGGATAACCCTCTTCTTGGTTAAGCGTAAAGCTTAACAGATTTAGTGACAGACAGAAAAGCTCAGGCCTAAAAGAATCACCCTGATATATTCCTATTCTGATGGACATTTCTTTTTTAGGTGAGCACCTACCCTTGCGAATACATCTCAAGTTTAGTTGACCAGCGATTCATTAAAGACTTGAGTAAAACAAACTATCGCCTGAAGTGGTCGATACATTTTCGTGACCTCAAAATCAAATCGTGGGTTACAGAATCATAGGCTTTTGTGTAGTCAATCCAGCACATAGAGAGGTTACTATGTGAAGATTTTTACTCTTCAATGATCATTTTCTTTTTAAAACCAATAGATCCTTTTAACCCAGCATCCCATCTGGCTCCTTTCTTCTCCATATAAATAATATTATTGGAAGAGGAGTAGGACGACACAAGATCTGTAAGATACCCTGTAAGTAGTTTGTATTGTGTGTGTGTATTCAGACACGCAGTAAGGTGGACATTTTTACGGATCAGTCAGTCACCTTTCTTTGGGAGAAGTATTGCTCTACTTTTGCAGAACCAAGGAGTGACATGCCCTGTATCCGCGAGAGAATTCAAACAGTGACGTAATGGTGTGTGGACACAAGGAAACAGTTTCCAATATCGGTATCGAATACCATCATGTCCTGGTGCCGTATTAAATCTGTACTTTTGGGTTACATCAGGTATAATGAAACGCACCAATGGCAGCCATATTTTTTCATGTTCATCATTATTGTCCTCTTTTACTCATGGTTCCTTGGGGTTACAGTTTCCGGGTATTGAAAACTGATTCAAAAACTGTTCATTGAAAAGGTCTTGTCGATACAACTTGATAACCGGATAAAGCAGCAAAGGTCGGGGATTACATCAGTTCTCTACTAAAGGCAACATCACATTTCTACAACATTTTCTTAATTTTTTAAGAAAAGTGAATACATGCTCACCTGCAAAACACGGTTTGTTCTATGAAGTGTGCACGTTGTATGATCTGGTCGTCATCCATGTCAAAAAAGGCCGTCTTAGCACCCGTCGGGCAAATACTGATCAGTCGAACTTCGGCAGCTTTAATTTCAGGATTTTGCTGAAGAAACAATGGCATTACACAGTGTGACACTGTGAGTGAGTTTAATTCACATCGGCAATATTTCAGCCATAGCTACATAGGTATTGTTGTGGCACTTAAAATGTCTTGAACGGCTGAGCAAATACGAGACAAAGGAGCTTCTGTTATACATTACACGTTATCCAGTTTCCCCAGATTGTGTTTGGTTTAATCAGCACCACTAAAGAGAACGTGCTGTTCAGTCTAATAGTAGACAAAAGAACATTAGAGATTAAAACACAATGTGCAGATTTGAAATTCACTTACTGCCCAACTCGACGTGAAGTGATAAACAGCGCTCTTACTGGCTCCATAAACAGGGAACCAGTATGTAGGCAGCAACGCTAAATAAAGAGCGAAATAAAGATTAAGCCTTGAAGTGCATATTTCATAAAAGGAATATATATGAAACTTCAGTGCCAACATCTTCTGTTACAGGTCAAGTTAGAAGAATACTACCAGTTTTCCCAGTCACTCAGCCTACGTTTGGATCTCAGGCTGAGAAGGAAAGGAACTAAACAGGAAATAAACACCTACCACCCCTTCACCTTCAAGGGTTCCTCTACAGAACCATATTGGGTCTCTGACATTGAGGTTACCCTGTCCTCGCAAGACAGGTGGAGGAATAGTCCCCCTCACACTCACTGGTCTCCGATTAAGCACCATCATGCAACTGTCCAATATAATGCAGTGAATTTGCAGAAGATATGAAATGAATTTCAACGAATTACAATTATTGATACAGGATTTCAAAACGTCAGCCTTACGTCTTCAGGAAGCCTATCAAATAACTTTGATTGAAGACAGTACAGTCATTATCATTACTTCTCTCCTCCAGCAGATAAAGCAAGTGGTGCTACCATTTTGCTTCGCCAGGGTATGATACACAGCATTGTATGTCTAAATTCGAACCTTCAAGATGTTGCTGTACGCCTAACACTGCATACTGCGTTGATTTTATTCAGCCTGTATATCCCTCCTTCTATTGATGGTCAAATGGGTTTAAATCGTTTCAACCCAGAAAAAATTATATACATATATATCCACATAAAGACCCAGAACTAAATGGCATCCCCGTAAAAGTTGTAAAGACTCTCATTTTACTGTCTTTGCCGTAAATTAAATACCTTAAAGCCAACTATCTGAAACTGCTCTCCTGCTTATAATTCATACTCTGGATCAAACTACCCTCCTACAGTTACTAAGATTACTGGTCCGCTCAATTCGTTACTACGGCCCCATTGCATAGGGCAGTCATTCTCGCGAGGTGCTACTTCCGGTTCTGAGCTGGTTCCCGTCTCCCTTTGCGCCCGCAAACTTACGATATGCGAGACGGGGCCCAGCTTACTTCCGGAACCAGATTTCCGGTGGCAAGCGTATATTCAAGAACGAGTTCTGGATTCAAATTGCGCGACCGCCAAATAAGACTTTGATAGACCGGACTAAGTGTAAAACTATGCTTGGCTGTCACAGCTGTTGGCAGTCATAATAGTTGGCTAATTTGGGGATGGTTAGATCGGAAAATTGTTAATCTTGCAAGGATTATCGGCTCCTTACTGTCAACTGACAACCATGAGACTATTCGAAATAGTATGAAACGTTGTTTGTCGCCGGAAGTACTAAGGTCTCGCGAAGTGCCGTGTCCTACTTACGGCCTGCAAAAGCAACCTTAAACAACTTGATTCTGTCCACCACCAATGTCCAAGACTTGTCTTGGATCTTTCCGAACTTCTCCGATTGACAGTATTTACGTTGAAGCAAATGTGCCTTCTCCAGCACCAAACACCAGCACGGCATTAACCCCTCTTTCCAATATGTTACAAAACTGTATTCCAATGAGTCCCGTAGTGCATACAAATATGTGTTTTATTTCCTCTATGAAGATCCTCCTTCTTGACAATTGGTGAGGACACGATTCATCCTAACACTAACCACATTTAAGAAGTCAAAAATAACCACAATCAAATACAGTAGGAACAATAACTTAACCCATTAAGAAGTAAATATAATTCATGCATATCTATATTTATCAATGGATGGTGGCTATTGTGCCACTGTCATTGGATCCAGAACAATATCTTCTCGATAACAGCTCTAATTTCACAGCAGATTCATCTGTCATATTAACAGTTCCTAAATATATCAATACACATCTCAAATATAAACTATTAAATATATTTTCAGACTCACTTTCGTACCTTGATGCCATTAAATGGCTGTCTTGTAAACATCCACTTTTAATCGAACTTATTGAATTATATAATGATCATGCTACTGGCCAATACAACATCGTAATCTGTTGGTTACCCAGCCATATTGGAATTTTTGGTAACACAATGGCCGATTCTGCTGCTAAGGCAGCGCTCAACGAATCTGTGACACATCTTATCATGCCATGCTCTGACTATAAAACCGTAATTAGATCTACATCCGTGATCATATGCAAAGAAGTGGAACACCCAAATGAAACCAACTGTTGGATGAATGTGTTTAAGTAGATAAATGTTTTGCAGTTGGGTGATAGTTTAAGTTAACAATTGAGATTGTTAGTGGCTGTAGGCTCACAGGGAGGTGAAGTGTTATTTTCCTCCTGAGGGGGGACGCAATTCCCGAAACATACAGAGTAATGTTATGCCCACCTGAATTTTAATCCTAGTATATTTGTGATTTTGACTGATGGCTAAATTAGAGTACAAGAGATTATGTACATCCAGCTAGGGGTTTCCGGGGTAATCATGTGCTGTGCTATTCATTGTAAGCGCTATGAGCATACCTGGTATGCAGTCGTGTTTGGCGCTATATACATGGACACATCACGATTATTAGGGTCCACGTAGGTCCCCATGGTCCATAGTATGGTGATCAACCTTCATTTCCTGGTCATCAACAACCTGTTTCTATATTGCAGTGTTCTGACAGAAATCAAATTTTAAAGAGAGATGCTAGTTTTAGATACTGTTTCTTTCATACTTCCTCATACCTGCCATTGACGCGGTGTTGATGATGACGCCGCCCCTACCCCCTTTATCCTTCCTCATGTGATTCAGCGCCATCATGGTCCCCCGCACAACGGCCGTCTGAACGCAGAGAGCAATGAAAACAGTATGAACATAGAGCCCTTAGTTAGAAGGAATGTTGACAGTCCCAAGTTCATAATAAGCAGTCCTTTTCATGATGTACAGTAACTATACTGAGTTAAACTAGAAACTTTACAATCATATATTCAATAATATATAAAGGAAAGGACACAGGAATATGGTAAAGAGGTTATCATTTTTTGTTAAGGTCGATAGGATAAACTGAGGATAATCACAATGTCAAAAATCGGTTCCATGTGGTTACAGTGTCACAGGAAATTAATTTAATGTTTCAAACGTTCAGTAGCGTGTATGGCCACCCGCCCGTTCACAACTGCCAAGCAACGCCTCTTCATGGACTGTCTGATGCGTGTAAACACATTATTGGGGAATCGGCGCCATAATTCCTGCAAAGCTGCACAGATCCTGCAAATGCTGGGGTTGGCTCCTGAGAGTGCGCAGACTTCTACCAAGAGCATCCCAGATGTGCTCGATTGGATTGAGATCAGGTGACCTTGACGGCCAGTCATGAACATTGATTCCTGCGTTCTGCGGGTAATTCCTGGTCAAGTTGGCTGTATGGGGTCTGGCATTGTCATGTTAACGTTGAAAGTGCAGACCTGGACCATGTGCTGCCATGAATGGAATAAGTTCGGGGCCTAGCACCTGGTCGCGGTAAACTGCAGCATTAAGGTTCCCATGGATAACCAGAAGTCGTGAACGGGCAATCGCACATAAAGCACCCCGAACCATGACACTTCCGCACCCAAATTTGTCAACACCCTGTACACAACACTGAGCATAACGTTTACAGCATCGCCTCCATACTCTCATCCTACCATCAGCGAATCTGAGGGTAAATCTTGATTCATCATTCTCTCTGAGTCCATCGGAGGTGTCGTCGGGCCCACAACAAACGCTGACGTCGATGTAATGGCGTCAAAAAGGGTTACGCGATATGGTCGTCGAACACGAAGGTGAGCAGCTCGCAGCCGGTTTGGATGGTTTGTGCCGACAATCGACCCTAAACAGCTTATTTCTGGTTCCTGTAGCCGTCACAAAAACGATTACGGAGTTGACGTAACACAATATGACGTCACACGTGGTCGACATGGCCTAGGGCAATCACCAATGGTGCCAGTTTGTTGCAGTCTGTAAATCATAAACAGTCCGATGGCTGCACCCAACGTTCCTGCTTCCAGCTTCCAGAATTGGCTGTTCTTGTTATTTCTTTAAATTGTTTTTTCACTTTGCACAGTTCGTGGGAACATGTGCGATCGAATGCACGTGCACTGATAAGATCACGTGACCAGTGGCACGTCAAAAACACATATTGTGGGGTGCACGATGTTTGGATTGACTTCAGTGTGCTATGGTGACTTTTTTCTTGAGTCGATACTTGGGGAATAATATTATGATACCCGAAAACTGTCGACTATAACAATTCATATTTTTATTTACAAATATAAATTGTGAAGTTTTTATTTTGACTCAGTATATGTTCGGTCAAATTTCGGGAGTGAACATTGTGTCTATACGGAAACCATTAAACATAGCAATTCGCTGGGCCTATGAACAGATGTATGACATAAAGTACATACTCATATGACAAATATTTAAATACTTACAAAATTGATTTCTAGTTCTTTTTCCCATATTCGTTCGTCCACTATGCCTGCATTGTTGCACATAACATCAACGTGACCAAATTTCGAGACAGCAGCTTTGAAGGCATCTAGACAAAGAAAGGTCATGCATATACAGTGTACTCTGTCAATACCGGCATCAGTCGGGACCAAATAAAAATGCCGGTTTTGACAGAGTGCCGGTTTAGCTAAGTTCGCTTATGACGCCTGCGCACACGGAAGTTCGCTGTCGTACTGTCACTTTAGCATTAACAAGATGTTTGAATAAGAAACAAGGCAGTGTCTGAATGCACATTCATGTTGTTTAAATCAAATAAAAATGTCTGAAATCTCTTATTAAATTTCAACTGATCATATATTATCGGCAGAATTAAAATTATAAACTATTTTTCGCAATGTTATTGAAAACAACGATTCTTGTCTATGCTTCGGCAGCGGGTCTACAATAGCATTGTCAAAGAGCAAAGTAACGATGTTTCAAACATCGAGGAAATCATTAAATAAATTGAAATCAACAATAACATTCATAAAAGTTGTCCAACGTACATATAAAATTACTATTTCCATACTTTTGTGCGATCATGCAATGTAAGTCAAGTCACTGACAAGTTACATCTCGGCTTTCACCGCCTCCGTCTTGACGCCCGCACACGATGCTTAATGTGAAAATATATGCATGAAGCATTTTTGTCATAGGCCATAACCTAGCACGATATGTCCAATACGTTCCATAATTTACGTATAGGTAGCGATGTCTTTCTTAATATGTTCAGAATAGCATTATTTTACCCAAAAACTTTCGTCTTAATCTAAAAGTTTTCGTTTACGAAGAAGGTATCCATTTCCATAATATGATTGGCTGCTTAGGTCACGTGTCTGATTTTGACCAATCACGACCCTTATAAGCAGAGTGTAGTGAAAAAGCGTCGTTAGAAACCAATCTTTATCCAATAAAATCGCTTCTTACAAATGTGAAAATACTCTCGGCAAGAGTACAGTGATATTGTTGATGTTCAGAGCTTTCGAACGATACCCGCCATCAAACGATTCGCCTCTATGTAAGTGACACGTGCCACTCACTAATTAACAAGAAACTGATTGACACTTCTCGTTTCTGAATAATCTCGGAAGTCAATACCCGCGAATCAACAAAATGTAAACACTTGCTTGTTTATACAGTCAAACTGCCCACTACATGTATTAATTACTCTGGGTAAGTGTTACGTACCACTCACTGATTAACAAGATACTGATTAACACTTCCCGTTTCTGAATAATCTCGGGAGTCACAGCGAATTGTGTTGTTACATCATTTGGACCTAATTGCATCAAAGGGTTACGCCGTCTTTCATGTGCCGGTTTTTACAGATTCGTTTTCATAACAACTTGTTCGTTGGGACTGAAAAACAATGCCGATATCCTGAATAGACAGATGCCGATGTTTACAGAAGTTTCTAAATGATAATAACGTGCATTTCTGCCGGGACCGAAACTTTGTGCCGATGTAGACAGAGTGCCGGTGTTAAGAGAGGCCGGTATTGACAGAGTCCACTGTACCTACCTGTTTATTGAAGACAAACCTGACCGGAAATGGGAATATAATGTCAGACAGGATATCCTCCCACTTCAGATACCTTCAAAGAAGATATAGAATTTTATACTAGTTGCTTACATATACTCGTCATGTTTCTGATAAGTTCACTATAATCTCTACAATTGGATCATTCATTCCAACGCAAAAGCACATTTGTATGTGAAGATCAGAGAAAACCTCCAAACAACATTTGTATCTTGGAAACAAATATAATTTGGGAGTTCCGAATGCAAAACAAAAATACAACGTTATCATATTGTTGTTATTCTTTCTCCTTTTCAAAGCGCCCTGATATATACATGCAAGAGAGTTTATTACCGAGTATATTTATGTCCTTACTCAATCACTCACTCCTCTAATTTAACACGATGCGATATAATACTATGAACAAAAATGCCGAAGATTCTTCTTTGCTTTGGTTGCATTTCATAATGATCTGCGCGTAAGACATCTTTACCTTTGCACCCTTCTTCAATACTGCTTCAGCTATGGCTTTACCAAATCCCTGTGCCCCGCCGGTGATGAACACTACTTTATCTTTCAGCTGCATGTCGACTTCAGGTATGCTGGTGGCAACAATACATGCATAATACAATACAACCAGAAATTATTGAGAATTTAAAGATTGTAAAGTTTTATATTTTTTCACTCACTACTCACGTAAGAAATGTGAATATTAGCAGAACATAACTCAAGATTCAAAGACAAGTGAACAGTTAGTATTTTGTCAAGTCACCATGGGCAGCAATACAGGCTTCAATGCGGCGTGGCATACTACTGATCAAAGAAGTTAGAAAGTCGTGGTCCATGCTGTTCCAATATCAGACCAACTCTTCTTTCATTTCAGCAATATTTGTGAGATTTTTCTTATTGACACTTTCCTTCATAAGTCCCCAAACATTTTCTATTGGATTTAGGTCAGGGCTATAGCTTGGCCAATCTAATAATGTCATATTTTGGGTCCGAAACCAGGCCTGTGAATGCTTTGAACGATGTTTTGGGTCGTTGTCCTGCTGGAAAATCAAAAATGTCCATAGAACAGATGGAAGTAAATGTCGATGTCCCTCGAGAATATCTGTGTACCGCTCACTGTTCATATTCCCTTCAAATACACAGAGGGGCGTTGCCCCTAACACAGATATGCCACCCCACACGTTAAATTTCGGACTGTACTTTGGGCGCTGATACAAAGGTTTTTCAGTTTGTTTGGTCCAGAATTTCAGTGTATTAGGAAACAGCCACCCAAAACTTTCATCTGAGAAAATCACATTGTTCCAGTTAAAATGTCTATGCTGTAAGCACCAGTTCAACCTTCGCTCCTTTTAGGTTTCATGATCGGTGATGGAATTCCTCGACTGTTCTGCCAACACATTGCATGTAGCTCAGTTCTAATTGTCTCCTTACAGACAGCCACAGTTCCTCTATCAATCATATCCAGCCTTAAGTTTTTCTAAACTCCTTCGTTTGTTTTTAGAAACAAGAATACTAAGCCGCCTCCCTGTCACCGACAGTCAATTCTTCTGGGCCTACCTGCGCCTCCCTGGTGCTCAATGCCATATCCATTTGCATCTCTTTTTCAAACACGATAAACAGTTGACAAAGGGATGCCTGTTCTACTTGAAATCACTTTAGCTGATCTAATGTCCTTGTAATAATACTCTAAAATCAACTTCCTCTTCTCTAAATCATCCATACTGAAACTGTCGTCTGCTAGCAAGTAAACAAAGGGGGATAACTCTTCACAAACTAATGAAAAAGGA